CTCCCTCTCCAAATGGCAGGCTCCTGCTGCTAGACCCCTGTTAGCTGCTTAGACAGATGACCAGCCGGGTTAACTAGAGCCCTGGACCAGCACTGACTGCTCCAATTCACTTTCATTAAGAGTTAAGAGGACATATCTGATCCCCGCTGCTCATGTCCGCGTGCGGCTCCACTATTAAGGGATGTAAGCTTTATTTAATGAATTTAACATCCACTTTCACTACCCTCCTCCCCAGGGACTGTTGAGACACAGAGGAGATGACACACACAAACACTCAGGCATGGAAGCACTCGAGGGCACACATATTCATCTGACACACGCGCCCCGACACCCCCGCCCTGCAACACATACACCTGACGCTCGTGTTTGTGTTCAAAATTCAATTACCCACTTATTGATACTTCACGGGGATATTTAAGATGCAGACACGAGCTGTGATTTCCCAGGGGAGCCACTGGTTCCTCTTTATGTCCCAACCGAGAAGACCCACCCCTCCTCCTCCTCCTCCAATGCATTTTCGCCTGGCTGACACATACACACATTCACACACCAAAACAAACACATCTTCACTTCCCCAACCCCTGCCACAGCCTACGCCTGTTCAAGAGGTGTCCTTATTAATAGGCAATCAGTCAAAAATCATTCATTAAAAAGCCTAAAAGGTTTTACACCCGCACCATGATTAGCTGGGAAAGAAAATCCAATGAATTCCTAATGCCTTTATGGAAATGAGATGTCATTTCCGATCTGCTCGGGGAGGCGGCAGGCAGGCGAGACTGAGCAGCAGCGAGAATAGGGTGTTCAGCTCTGCATCCTCCTTCACTCCAAAACGGATCCTGAACAAATACTCCCATAGAAAATCCATTTTAGAACAACTTCAAGGCAATTAGGATATATAAAAAAAATAACGGATCCAGCAAAGATTGGTTTCACTTTGTGTCATCTCAAAGGAAATGAAGAGTTACTTTCTCATTCAGTGCAACTTTGAGGCCAAGGAGACTTGGGGGAAACAAAAAAAATGAAAATAAATAAGAGCACAGTGAAATAGTAGAGGTGAGGAGGAGGAGAGCGTTGGCGAGGAGGCACACCCTGTTCCTCATTCAGCAGCTGTCAGCTCAGGCACTTCATAACTGGCCGGTCTGCAGTCAGCCCGCCTTGATGGATTGATGGAGGCACATTAGCACGAATGGAGCCCGGTGAATGCAATCATATTCAGCAGCGGCATGCCTCTAATAGGCTGGAGATTGATCCTGAGGGTGAGGAGGAGGTGATAGTGAACGCAGGCCCATTAGGAGCTGTCAGGGCTGGGTGCCCTTCAGTCTCACCTTCACTCAGGCAGATGCAACAGGGGTCGCACTGGGTCTGTGCTGGGTGGTATATGAGAGGAGAGGTGATCTAGAGCCACAACAGGTGGTCCCAGAATACACTGAGTGACACTTTTACATACACACCAAAACAATTTTAAAGTAAGAATATGCTCATCTAGAATTTGTCTTTTATGTTACACTACTCATTTCTTAGTAACACTTTTTATACTGTTGCACGTTAGCAAACTAGTTGCAGTGAGATACTAAGAGATAGTGAACAATGTAAGAAGGTAGTTGTGGTATTTCTCAAGTACTTTAATTTGCAAACCTTCCACATTAAATTAGTCGAGTTCAGCTGTTTCATATTGAGAACGAAGACTTCAACGTGAGCTTTAAACACGTGCCTTAACTGAGGATGCAAACGGCTTTTTATCCTGTTGAAACAATCACTGCTACTAGTGAATTAATTAAAATCAGCAGTAACATACACTGCCTGGCCCCTCAAAAAAAGTTGCCACCAAAAAAAAAAAGGTCACACACTAATATTTCGTTGGAGCACCTTTAGCTTTGATTACATCATGCATTCGCTGTGACATTGTTTCAATAAGCTTCTGCAATGTCACAAGATCTATTTCCATCCAGTGTTGCATTAATTTGTTACCTAGATCTTTCATTGATGACTTGACACTAGACATGATGGGTGCATCACTTCACCTGCCTCTCTTCTTATCCTGATGTGCCCATCACTCTGGAACAGGATAAATCTGGACTCATCAGACCACATGACCTTCTTCCATTGCTCCAGAGTCCAATCTTTATGCTCCCTAGCTAACTGAAGCCTTTGTTTCCAGTTAGCCTCACTGATTAGTGGTTTTCTTAAGGCGACACAGTTGCTCAGTCCCAATCCCTCGAGTTCCTTTCACATTGTATGCGTGGAAATGCTCTTACTTTCACTATTAAACATAGCCCTGAGTGCTACTCTTGTTTTTGTTCCATTTGATTTCACCAAACGTTTAAGTGATCGCCGATCACGATCATTCAGGATTTTTTTCCAGACATTTCTTCCTCGAAGACGATGGGTCCCCACTATCCTTCCAGTTTTTAATAATGTGTTGGACAGTTCTTAACCCAATTTTAGTAGTTTCTACAATCTCCTTAGATGTTTTCTCTGCTTGATGCCAACGATTTGACTCTTCTCAAACTGACTGACATCTTGTCCACGACCACATGATGCATCTTTCAACATGGTTGTTTAAGAAATGAGAAGCAACTCATTGCACCAGTTGGGGTTAAATAACTTGTTGCAGCTGAATGATAATCACTCATGCAGGAATTATCCAATAGAAGGCTCGTACTATTTGCTTAGTTAAATCCAGGTGGTGACTTTTTTTTTTTGGGG